AACTTTGGTGGGGAGATCGACAGTCCTCTTATAAATTGGAAAAAAGTAACCTTGCCTTGCTTTGCTCTTCCTCCTCTGAGGTTGGGAAAACTTTGGTGGGGAGATCGACAGTCCTCTTATAAACTGGAAAGAAGGCCAAAAAAGGAAGTGGGGACTTTACTGTTTGTTAATGTAGACAATTCTGTTTTGAAAACTGCAGGAGTAAATGTTTCTGCATGCTTGTCTACCTGGACTCAACTGGAGCAGGCTGGAGTGGACCAAATACGGCTGCTTATAGCTCAGTGGTGTAAGTACCTGGCTGTGGAGCCAGAGGTTGGTAGTTCGATTCCCTTCTGTGCCTCCCAGGAGAAAAACCAGACTGGGTGACCTTGGGCAAGCTGCAACTGCCTCCAGGAGAAAGGAATGGTAAACCACTTCTGAGTACCCTTTACCCAGAAAACCCTGAAAAGACAGAATTGACATGATGACACATAGTGATGATGATGATGATGATGATGATTCAAGGTTGGGTAGCAGTCTAGTGTCCTAGTGATCCTTGCATCCAAACAACATATACACCTCAAGCAACCTTATTTGGTCCAGCTCCTTTAAGAAGACAAAAAAAAAGGGGGGGACCCTTTGTCCTTGCTCCCTCCTTGATTAAAAAAATAGTGGGGAAAATTTTAAATGGAAAATCTCCTCGTGGAAGTAGGAGGACTGATGAGGGGGCAGGAGGGGAATTGTTTTGACCAGCGAGGTGGGCCAAATAGGGCCACTTGAGGTACATATACCATTTTGATGCGTGGATCACACCAAATGGCATACTGGACCTCTATAAGCAGCCCTCTTCGGCATGATCCAACCAACTCCAGTTGAGCCCAGGTAGAGAAGCTCTTAAAATTCAAAAACACACTGAATGAGCTCATACGTTCAGAATTTACCTACCCTCTATGCCAATATTAGTGTAGCCCCCTTCAATATGCAATGTTTAAGTTCAAGCACAGCTCAAATATTGATATTTGTTTTCTAGGTTTACACATTGCTCTTTCTTCATTATGGCATTGCAGAAGGCTCTCTGACAGTCTCTCTTCCGTGACCAATGACTGTTCCCATTTCTGCCTTATCTTCCTCAAAGTGGCAGCGTCATGAGTTCCTCAGAACATAAAAATGTCTATATCATATAATGCTAAAGGGCATATCATAATAGTTCCTATAATTTGCAGCACTGTCAGAGGGGTAAAAGTTGAGGATACGACATGGTAACTGTTCAGCTGTACATAAAAGACAATGTTAGGCAGGAGTTACTTCTGGATTGTTCAAATGTGTGTGTGTGTGTGTGTGTGTGTGTGTGTGTGTGTGTGTGTGTGTGTGTGTGTGTGTGTGTGTGTGTGTGTGTAAAATAAATAAATAAACTAAATTTGCAGTTGTGGGTGTACTGGTAAACTGAATGTTTGGGTCTGATACCCTTTAAACACTCTCTTGAGGTTGCCACTTCTGCCTCTGCCAGGGTGGTCCTAGTTCTGGCTAATTAAGTTGGAGATATCCGGAGCCTTCTTAAAATCTTAGAATTGCGGAGCTGAAAGGGACCCTATGGATCATCAAATCCAACCCTTGTCAGAGAGGCATAGTAGGGAATCCAGAGAACAAAGGCAAGAGAGACAAGAGAGAAGTGTGAAAAAGAAGGAAATGACATCAAGAATTCTAAGAATAGCAATTGAAGTTTCTAAAGAAGGTCAGCAGACATCTAAGCAAGGCAAAGCAAAAGACAACCAAGGAAAACTGAGGAGGTCCTCTCTTCTCTTCTCCATGCAAGGACATGCACTCGGTCACGTCCAACAGTGGGAAAGCTACACTCCTCTAACCTGGCAGATATTATTTCACCAGATGCAAGGGTCTGTCGGGAGCCACTGATGGAGTGCAAAAGACATGATTGTCATCGAAATAGCCTTCCAAATTACACTCCAAGTCTGACTGAGTCCTGCATTTGTTACATTAAAAGGACATCCCAATTTTTAATCCTTAGTTGTAACCAAAATAGTTGCCAAGCAGGGCAGGTGCACCACAGCCTGAACCAGGATTTACAGACACTCTCTGCTGCCACAGTTACTAAGCAGAAACCAGCTTTTCTGCTGGCAACATCACAGCATGCAAATATAGCAGCCTGTGTGGGTGGTTATGTGCTGGAGAACAAGTTTGGAGTGACAAGTTTATTAAAGAACATCCATGTGTAGGTCTTCCAGGCAGATGGCTTCCCACTGCCTTTTTGAGTTGGGGTTCTGTCTTCGTTTTGAACAAATGGCTTCTGAATGCGTTCCGGTTGCTAGATGCTCATTTTGAGGCAAGCAAATGCAAGCTGCGGTGTTTTTGCTAGGAATATGGGCAGGACACAGCGAGAGTCACCATAAACAAAGTGAGGCAACCATCATGGAGGAGATACTGGGTGCATGTGCTCAGCAACATCAGTCATGGCTGATCCTCTTGAACCCTCAGAATGCTCATCTTTTAGCGGACTGTCCATGCCCTACATGGCGTCCTGTTCCCTTAGACTTGCACGTTGGTTAGAGACAACATGGAAGATGCTGTTCTAGTTGCCAACAGTCCAATGGCAGTCCAGCCAAGCTGCTGTGTATGGAACAAGGAAGGGTATGACCTTGTTTTTTGCTTCTGGCAGCCAGAAGTTTTGGGTCATCTAATTCAGAGGAGTATTCTCATATGGGTGGTGTCCCATGTTATTAGCAAGAGAAGGGTGCCATTTGGACTTTCCATATCAAGCCCTTCCCTTCAGATTGTGCCTGAGGGGGTCAGACATATCATGAACTTGTACCCCTAATAGCCTTCATTATTCTGTCTCCCTTCAGCCAGCCTTCTCTCTCACTGCCTCATAGGTCCACTTCTGTGTTGGCTTCTGTGGAAATCAGTGGCATTTTTGAAAAGGGTTTAGTTTTGTGGGCTAAATGATGCCCATTTTTTCCCACTGAGGAGCAAATAATTATATTCCATTTGAAAATTAAATTCTAGAAATAAAAGAGGGTTGTTTTTTTTTAAAGGAATATTTCTTGCTCCCAAGCTGGGAGTAATGGCTGAAGACAGGAAAGTGAATATTTCTGTTGACCTTCTTGTCCCAAACCATCACTTTATCCTAAGGCTAAAACCTGCCTTTATACTACCTTCAGTCCCTTCAGCTGTCTGCACATAACAGGTATCCAAACAGGGAGCATTCCACATGCCAGAGTCTCCAATTCATTAAAAAGAAGCTATTAAAGATATGAAGTGAGGTCTTGATTTCCAGTTAGGAGCCAGACCATCGACTAATTCTCGGCTGCTTTCCCAAATGATCTTATGGTTTCCAAAGTGTACAAACAAATACAGTAGTCAACCGCTTCCATCACCAAGGTTTGACACCTCCCCAGGTAAGTGCTTGTTTGTCTGGTCCAGGTCCCTTGTGCTTGGAGGTGTGCCTGTCCAATTGCCTCCATGACCTGGCTCGGTGTTCTCTCCCATTGCTCACACCCTTCCTGGGGAGGTGGCCTATAATAAATATAATGCACTCCTGCCTTAGGAAGAGGCAGTTCCAAAAGGCTTTACCAACAATCCAGGGTGACACTTGATAGAGAAGGTAAGAGAAAGGAAGGCATTCTTCCAGGAGCAAAAGTCAAGGGTAGAGACAGAATCTATGAACCTTTCTTCCTGCGGTTACAATCAATTATTAAATTCTTAAGGAACTTCTTTCTTTCCTCTTGTCGTTCATATGCCTCTTTGCCTTGCCAGGTTCTTTCTACTGGTTCTCTGCTTGTAGCACAATGGGGTTTGAAGTCATACAAAGTAATTGTGTACTGGAGTCCGTGTTAGACTACAGCAATGGTTTCCAACCCTGGGTAACCCAAGTGTTCTTGAACTGCAACTCCCAAACCCATGGCCAGCACAGCTGGTGATGATGGCTTCTGGGAATTGCAGTTCAAAAACAATAGGTTACCCAAGCTTGGGAACCAGTGGATTAGAGGAACTTTTGCTGACTTCCAGACTTATTCTGTAGCTAGAAGGCATATAGGGCTGTAGATCAACAGAGGAGGCGACATCTATAGGGCTTGGAAAAGTGACCTTTTTTTACTGTAATGGTAAGACTGGCTGAGGACTTCTGGAATCGTAGTCCTTAATAGCTCTTAATAGTCCTTAATAGTTTGTCTCAAGTTCTGCCTCTCCTTCTGCGGAGGGTGGCTGAGATCCATGTGGTCTCACCTATGAGCCCTTCGTACTTGGAATAGGATATACTTTGAGATGTTTGCCTAATTGTCATCATGAATTTTAAGAGCCGGTCTATGATTTCTAAATCAGCCAGGAATGCTCTTTTAAGATTAAGAACTGAACCAGCTCTCTGGGCTTAGAAACCACCAAAGATTCTACCAAAACACAAAGATCGTTGTAAAGTGGATTTGTCGTAATGTGGGGCAATTGTAAAGCGAGGCACAACTGCACTCTCCTGGTGTATTTCAAATCATATAATGGTGGGATAAGGCAAGGGAAGAGTGAGCTAACACATTTATTTCATCTTAACTTGCGTGGTTCTATAAATCTGTGGGCATGTGAAATGTACATCTGAAATGAAATTGCATAGTTAATTTTAGGGTAATTAGACATGTAAGCACCTTTGGTGAATGAATCAGTGGGTAAGTGACCCGTGCTTCGAAATTGATTGTTGTTATCAGCTTGGCCAACTTCCAGAATAATTAACACACCCTGATTAAGCAAGCGCGGCTTTCCCCATCCTGGCACCATTTCAATTGTGTTTGACTACAAAACCCAGAACTGGCAGTGCTGACTAGAAGTGGTGGAATTATAGTCCAGCACACCTGGAGGACATCTGGATGGGGAAAGCCTGGGGGATATACATGGCACAGAGTCAAGGGACAAGTTGTAATAATAAGAAGAGACTAGTAAGTAGAATGTTGGTGTAGTAGAAGGACCAGGTTGGGTGGCATGAGAAATTTACCACTGAGAATAACAATTTTTCTATGCAGGTAAGCAATGGGAGGCATGCGTCCCACTCTGAAACTGGTGATCCATGTATGGTTGGTAGTGCTCCTGGGAGGATTCTTTGATACCTGTGAAGCAGGTGAGATGGTTCAGCACTGTACTGTTAAAAAATAGAATGAAAGGCAATGTGTTTGCTTTCTTAAATAAAAGAATCTACACTTATTCTCAGGGACATCGGCAAATTAGCCATCAGTTGGTTCTAGCACTTCATAGTCCTCAGGAGTGCTACAGGCTAGTTACTAGGGACTACTAAGCCAGAAATCTTTCTTTCCCAGGAAAAGATATGATGCCAGCCTTTGCAAATTTACCGAATTGTGTGATCAGCTCATGATGACCATACTTTTTTTTTTTTAAGGGAAGGGTGGAAGAAAGATTATGCCAGCCCTTGGAGTGCTACAGGCTAGTTACTAGGGGCTGCTAAGCCAGAAAGCTTTCTTTCCTAGGAAAAGATATGATGCCAGCCTTTGATGACCATACTTTTTTTTTTAAAGGGAAGGGTGGAGGAAAGATTATGCCAGCCCTTGGGGATTTACTGAATTGTGCGATCAGATCATGAACAAGCAATTTTTTTTTTTAAAAAAGGGAAATTACTTACTTACAGTATTTATTTATTAAATAAAAATTATATTAAATAAATAAATAAACTTACCTCAAGGAGGTAAGAGGGATGGCCTGTAGACAAAGGGCCTTTTCGGCAGCTGCCCCCAGACTATGGAACGCCATCCCAATTGAGATTCGTCTGGCGCCGACGCTGATGACATTTTGGCGCCAGGTCAAAACCTTCCTGTTCCAGAGGGCTTTTAATTGAAATAATATCAACTGTGGGTCCTGATGGCAATTTTTAGAGCATATATTTTAATTGTTTTATCTTTTTAAATTGTATTTTAATTGTTGTAAGCCACCCAGTAACCTTTGAGTAGTGTGGGCGGCATATAAGCGAAATAAATAAAATAATTAATAAATAATAAAATCTTAAGACTTAGTCATATTTTACCTCTGTAATGGCAGTCCTCTTGCGTTCTGCCTTGTGTATACTTGGGGGGAGAGAAAAGGAGCCGAGAGAGATCGGGAAAAGCAGGGGTCTATGATGGCTAAAACGGGGGCCAGACAATGGGTAGGTCCAAAAACTGTTTTCATTTTATTGAGGAGATACCGATGGCATCCCTAATCTCATCTCTGTGAAGCGAGATAAGGCAGATGATGGGATGATGACAGTTTGCTATGCCCTCTTTGTTTTTTATGTGACATAATACATGCTTCCTGTTTTTCCCCCCTCTCTTTCTCTCTTTCTGTAACAGGGCCCTGGTGCTATGACAAACCATCCTGTGGTAAGCAAAACAGCATTCTCCGGTGTCATCGATGGGTTGCAAGGTCTCCTCCCAAACTAGAGAGCAAAGGTCTTATCACCAGTAGGGCACCGAAAAGGCAGCCGGCTTCTCTAGCACTGGACTGTATTTCTGACGGTGCTTGGCCCTATTCAGATCAGCACACACAGTTCTTTATTCGGTCCTTGTTCAGCCTTATCCAGCCTTAGCCCCAGGATTTCTGGGACTGTAACTCCCAGAAATCCTGGCCTTCATGGTGAAGCCTTCTGGGAATTTTAGTCCAAGAAACTTCTGGGGCCCCCTGGTTGGGAACCACTGCTCTAGAGGTCCTGAACCGCAGCTTCCATCATCCTTGCCAGTGTGACCCTTGGAGAGTTTCTGCTTGGGGAGTTTTGAAGCCTTATTGCCAGGAGCATCTCCCTTCATCTTTTGGAGGATGGGCAGGAGGCACTTTGGATGCACCTGCCTGTCCAGACAACCCCAAACCTTATAGAAACTTATGGGCTGTCTCTGGAACACGGGATTGTAAAACGCTACTTGCTGGCCTTAACGGATGGTAAGGTTTCCGTGAGAAATCTTCTTTTAGGAAACATGAAACAGCCGATGAACTACTGATCAAAAATAATCAAATTATTTTTCCTCCCTGTTGTGTAGTCACAACTACACTGGTTCGGTGCAAGGGAAGCTCTCTATCTGATGTGGTTAATCTATGCTAGCCATCAGAAAATTATTTAGACATTATATTCTCAAAGGCTTTCACAGCTGGGATCTGATGATTGTTGTGGGTTTCTTCGGGCTCTTTGGCTGTGTTCTGAAGGTTGTTCTTCCTAAGGTTTCGCCAGTCTCTGTGGCCGGCATCTTCAGAGGAAAAGGAGTCAGAACTCAGAGTACAGACAAGAGTTCTGACTCCTTTCCTCTGAAGATGCCGGCCACAGAGACTGGCGAAACCTTAGGAAGAACAACCTTCAGAACACGGCCAAAGAGCCCGAAAAATCCACAACTATTTGACATTGTTTTCACTTTTCTTACAACTCTACATTTACGTTAAAAAAGAGCTATGTACTTTATACTAAATGACTTACTATTAAAGGTGGTTTAATTGGGAGGTGGGGATAAGATAGCTTTTGGGTAGATTTTCACAAAAATGGGTTTCCAGACTGTAAATGCCGTAGAGGGCACGGCTGGCATTTTTCAGAAACTTAGATTCATCATTCACCTTTTCCTCTTCCTTCCTAGGTCCAAAAACATGGGCTTCCCTTGGTTATTGCAATGGCAAGAAACAGTCTCCTATTAACGTCATCACAGAGAAAGCTGTCCCTGATGCCCGTCTGGGTCCTATTCATTTTGTTGGATATGAAGACCGTTTGAAGCCACACCTCCTTAAGAACACAGGACATACTTGTAAGTATAGACAAATGACCGACTGTGATAGTACAGATGAATGAGTGAGTTGAATGAGTTAATTTGTTAAAAGGCACTGGGAGTTATTGACTTGGCAGTATAATTCAGGCTCATTATTCTGTACGCCTTAATTCTGTACAGAATGTCTGCATCCAGATTATCAGCTCTGGGAGTTGCAGTCTAAGAACAGATGGGTTACCCAAGTTTGGGAACTACTGGTTCCACTAGGCCACACTGCACAGTTGTGTTATGAGATGCAACATGGAGGGTTAGGACATGACAAGATATTTATTATCTTTGGCAAGGGGGAATTTTGTACCAGCATGATAGACATGGATCATGCCAGCAGTTGAGCTACTAATGGAATCATATGGCCCCCTTCAGCACAAAGATCTCTTAGCATGAGTCCTTTCACCATGACAGCCTGTACTTTCACCGTGACAGTTGCACTGAACTGTCCCCACCCACCTCTATGGTTTTTTTTTAAAAATCCATATAAAGCTTTGTGGTCATTACACAATACAAATGTGGAAGAATCTGTCACATTTTTCGACACATCATGGGAGAGGCTGAAAGCAACGCTGTGCGGCATTTGGCACAGTTGGGGTATGAAGCAAAGAGCTTGGAGACATAAGAGTTCCCGTAAACCTCCCGCCAAGATGGCCACTAGCAATATTGGCTGGGGGATTTGGGGCGCTGTGGACCAAAATAGTGATACTCGGGGAAGGAAATCTGCCTCCTGTCCTGGTGAGGTAGCTGAATAGGATAGGTGAATACAATTTCTTTGAGGGAGAAGCAGCAGGCTCTTCCCTTCAATTTGCTCCCCTGTTCTCTATTGTAGTTTTTTTTTTACTCTGTACAATGAGGGAGTCACACAGACAAGAAAGCTGGCAGTTACCTGCATAGCCTCACCCCTTCCTCTGCATATCCCCACCCTAGGGCCTCCATCTTAGGGCCTGTCCACACTGGCATGTAAATATGATATATAGCTTGCTTGAGGGCACAGTTTGGATCAAAAGAAAAGGCTGGGTCTGCTTGTGGTTCTACTTAGATTGTGTCATCCTTCCCTTTTAAGAGCTGTTTCGCTCCTTTCTGGCCCACTGGAAGGGCATGCATTCTTTTTGGCATGTAGAAGATCAGAGGAACCACCAAGCTCTGCTCCCTTGCCAGGTCTGGATGCCCCAGCCAGCAGGCTGATGTCTCTGTGGAAGGGGAGTCATCCGCCTACTGGAGGCAGGCATAGTGGTAATAAGCTGCAAGTGGGTGAGAGACTGAGCAAATGCCAGTAATCATGGCAGCGGCAACAGTCAACGGTGACAGACTGTGCCTTCTGTTCTTCTCCTTCATGTCCCATGGCTTTGCTCCATGCATTCTGCCTTCCTGCTGCCCTGCTCCTTTCCCTTCCATCATTTTCTCTTTCCTCCTTTCTTTCCCAGTACCTCCTATCTTTCTTCTTTCCCCTCCTGTCTGTCCATCCTCCTTCTCTCCTGGCGGTTTCACAGGCAGTTTCTATACTCTCAGCGTTCTCTTGGCTGCTCTTCCGTCCTCTTTGCTCCTATCAAATTCTGTTTCCCTGTCCAACCCCATCTGAACAGCATCCTCTTTGCTCCCCACATCTGGCTTCTTTCTGTCTTTGACCCTTTTTTCCCACACCTCACCCCTTTCCACCTTCTCTTCTCCTTTCCCTTTCTCACTTGCTGTTTCTACTTTGACCGCTGAGTCTGCTACAAGGGGTTGCTTGCTATTTGGATGGGAGGAGCAGGCCAAATGGCACCTAGTTCCCCCCCCCGAAGTTCACCAGACTTTTTGTAGCCCAATCCAACTCTACACGCAAAACAGCTAGTCTGGATAGGCCCGCATCATGTTAGCATGTGCTTCCTAGTGTGACACACAGAGAGAAGAGAGACAGATTCCTTTGTCACTGTTTTGTATTCAACTGTTCCAATAAATATCCAGGGCAGGTGACAGCCCGTCTAATTACCGGTACTTGTAAACATCTAATCTAAGATGCAGATAAAAGCATACGTCAGCTCACATCTGACTCTTCATTGCCATCTTAATATTCAGGAGCATTAAAACTAAATTTCCTCAAGGCAAACTTGTCACAGCACTTCCTTAAAATACTGCAGGCTACTAGAGCGGAGAAGTACAGGTCTGTTTCTCTGTCTTAATCCAGCACTAACAGATAGGTTTGCAAATCAAAAGTCGGTTAGCTAAGCCTTGTTGTTCTTTAGTTGTTTAGTTGTGTCCGACTCTTCGTGACTCTATGGACCAGAGCACGCCAGGCCCTCCTGTCTTCCACTGCCTCCTGGAGTTGGGTCAAATTCATGTTGGTAGCTTTGATGACACTGTCCAACCATCTCATCCTCTGTCGTTCCCTTCTCCTCTTGCCTTCACCCTTTCCTAACATCAAGGTCTTCAGGATCTGTCCTTCCAGTGAGCACTCAGGGCTGATTTCCTTTAGAATGGATAGGTTTGTTCTCCTTGCAGTCTAGGGGACTCTCAAGAGTCTCCTCCAGCACCACAATTCAAAAGCATCAATTCTTCGGCGGTCCGCTTTTGTTATGGTCCAGCTCTCACTTCACTAATTTCTTCAGAAAGAAAGCTCTCAGCTACCACTGGGGTAGGAACAACCTAGCTTGGGTGAAGCTGGTCTTAGCTAAACCTCAAAGGCGTTCAGTTTAGGTCTTTTCTCCCAGCCGAGCCACATTTAGGTATCTGCAATCACTAATTTCCTCTTCAGAAAGAAAGCTCTCAGCTAGCACTGGGGTAGGAACAACCTAGCTTGGGCGAAGCTGGTCTTAGCTAAACCTCAAAGGCGTTCAGTTTAGGTCTTTTCTCCCAGCCGAGCCATATTTAGGTATCTACAAGGTGTGTGTAAGAAGGTGGTTACATTACTAAAAGAACCACTGTGGGTTCTGCTTAATTTAAGCTGCTTTTAAAAAAAGTGACTATGCAATATACAGCTCCCCCACCAAATTTTTCTTGCCCAAGACTGGTATTGTTTTGTGCACTCATTCTGATTCCTCTGCCAGTGGCTAATAACATAAGGAAACAATTAGTTCAATTTATAATCACATGACGATTAACCTCGCTATGCGGGGCACCACTGTAGTTCAATTTATAATCACATGACGATAATAAATAGAGATGGGGGTATTCGTATACGAATATCCCCGCACAGGTGGAAATAACGAGGGCCCAGCCCCCTGGGTATTTAACCATGGAGGTGCACTTTTAGTCCGACACGTCGCTTTTGGCTGGGAAAGTGTTGGTTGGCTAATATTAATGCCATTTCAGATTAGACATGTTGCTTGCCAGGGAAGTGTTCCTTTGTAACTGGTCCTGCGGGTAAAACCTTTGCTTTGGATTCACTGCAGCCGAGGTTGAAATGAAGCCAGGAGCGACCATCTCTGGTCTTGGCCTTCCGGGAACCTATAACCTGAAGTCCTTCCATTTCCATTGGGGCACTCTTAACCACCGAGGCTCCGAGCACGCCATCAATGGCGTGCACTATGCCATGGAGGTGAGTTACTCAAAGCCCTGGGAATGGGAGGAAATGCAAAGATCTGGGAATCTGGTTAAGATTTCAGGTGGGCAGTATTCATGTTACTGCTGCTGTTGGTAATGCTGTTGTTTTGATGCATTTTTGGGAAGTTACAGCATTCTAGTTCAAAAAGGTACCAAACACTGTTACAGTTATTCTTTTTTTTAAAATCCTATTTATCTTACTTTCTTAAAAGGCTGGAATAGTTACTTTTTAAAAGGAGCACAGTCCAAGTCTCTGCCTATGGTACTTAAATAGTGAGGCTAAACACACACAGCCTGTAATTAGAGACATAAGTAAAAACAGTTATTGACATGCCACAAAATTAGTGAAGATATTGTCTCTCATGCTGTAGTTGTTATGTGGTAGTTATGTTGTTGGTTCGACTTACGTACTACCACATAGTGCTAAATCACTCTCTGGGTGGTGTATAACATAATTACGCAAGGAACACTTTTGCACCCCAGTGAACTGGGTATTCATTTTACCAGCCTCAGAAGGATGGAAGGGTGAGTCAACCTTGAGCCGGCTACGTGAGCCCGTTGGGATCAAACTCAGGCTGTGAGCAGCCTTTGCTGCGGCACTGCAGTTTAACCCCTGCAGCAAAAGAAGTAGTTTCCTCTTTATAGGTAGTTAATTCCAAGTGTTGGCTTTTACTGCGTTCTTGCTGGTATCCTGTTGCTTATTATCTTAATGTGGAATGGTCCATTCAATGCACAATTCCTCTTTCCCTAACATTTGTGCAAAAGGGACTCCACTAATCTCTTCCACAAGCTGAGATCCCCATTGTTTTCAACGGGACAGTCACTGGCTTGTGCATTTGCAAGCCAGAGGCCCCCAGGACAAATGCATTGCCGTCTAGTTCTTTACACTCCACATCTACAGTACCAACAAGATCCTAGCATCTTCATGGCTTCATTTCAATTGTACTATTAGCCAGTCTGAATGATATTGTTTTTAAACAGAAAGGTAGATATAACATTATTACTGAAATAAAATAAATTGTGGGTCCCAGCTGACTATTTGTCTGTCCTGGATTCCATGTACTCCTTGTTCTCTGATTTTTCCTTAAACAATAGTGTGTGACCCTAATAGTGATCATGGGGTAAAGAGATACAGTAATAGCAATAGTGTGTGACCCTAATAGTGATCATGGAGTAAAGAGATAATAGATGATGAGAGGTGTAGGCAGGAGAAGGGTGGAGTGAATATCAAAATGGACAATTCCACTTGGGTGGGAGATACCATTCTGAATTCTGCTCCATATCTTTGCAAATGTGAAAACAGAAATCGGTCCGTCAGTCAAAACTTTATTGTTTATGGCTATAGGCCTTTACAATATGCAATGCATGATATAAAAAGAAAATCCAGGTTTTAAAACATACATTTTAGAACTACATGTTTTAAAATGTGCCCTTCTTTAAGCATCTCCAATTAAATTAAGTTAAATGGCATTATGGTCCTTGAGAAAAGCAGACCTCAGCTTCCGTGAAAACAGAAATAAAGACCGCATATCTGAGAAAATCACCCATAACTTTCTTTAGCCTGCAAAATTGGTTTGTCATTTCCAAGATGTTTAAACATGGAGGGAGGGGGTAGTAAGTGGTGGTTTTGGTTTGTTACCTCACTGTTATTCCACTTTGCTGTGCAGTTTGCATGAACTAAAAAGGAGGCCACCGCCAGCAAAGGCTGGGTCACCCCTTTTAAAAAAGTCAAGGGCTGAGAAAAGCAAGAGGCAAGCAATTCAGCATAGGCTTATAGCAGCCCGACTGTTTGTCAAGGTATGATGAGGCAGCCCTTCAGCCAGTGGATGGATGAGAAGCTCACATGTGGATCACAGCCATTTAGATTTTCTATACACATCTACTTTAGGTCATGTTATATTTATATTTATTTTATTTTGCCTTCAGAATAACTAACAAACCCCATTCCAATCGCATAACCAAAATCCTTCAGATGTTTGGATAAGCAAATTGCACCTAATTGACATGGGGCATGTCTCAGTCATGTGCATGATAATACACCTGACTATGTAGCTGTGATATGCCGTAGCACCCTGTCAATTAGCTACAGCAAGGCACACAAACCTTACTTCAACACCTCACAGCAGGTAGGGCTGCGTTGAAGGGCTTAGTTCTGTTTAGAAGCTAGAGCACCCACCAACATGCTTGGTGTTGCTTGTACCATGTTTCCCCCAAAATAAGACAGGGTCTTATATTAAATTTTGCTCCAAAAAACGCATTAGGGCTCGTTTTCAGGGGATGTTTTGTTTTGTTCAATCTACATTTATTCAAAGACAGTCATGTCATCTTCAGGTTGCTCCACAAGGCTGGAGGGCGGGGTTTCACTTGATTGGGGCTTATTTTTGGGGTAGGGCTTAGATTACAAGCACCCTGAAAAATCATACTAGGGCTTATTTTCAGGTTACGTCTTATTTTAGGGGAAACAGGGTAAAATCTATTGATTTTCAAAATGCTAGTAATAAATATTATAATAATACCCTCTTTTGCCAGATTGATTCAAATTAAACCTAGTGATTAGACAACATAAAGCTCAATGTGGGGACCTCCCTTGTGGAATTGTCTTTTTTTAAAGCGAGGAATCATCTTTTTTTCTTTTTTTTTGGTTCAGCCAGTAGAAGTTTAAATTTGTTCCGTTTGGGCTGAAATTGCATTTGTTTGCTTTCTTCCCATTGTGATTGCCTGATAGGTTGCAAAGGGGTGCTTAAGGCATCATCTCAACTGAGCACTCTAGACGCCATACACTTTCTTTTAAAGAATGATTTCAACTCAGTGCTAGAACACACTATGGCTAGGGGACTAAATAAGAGAGACAGTGAGCGAGAGAGAAAGGGCCAGTTATATTTCAACTCAGTGCTAGAACACACTATGGTTAGGGGACTAAATAAGAGAGACAGATGCAGCGAGCGAGCGAGAAAAGGCCAGGTAGCACTTTGTTAGCACCTTAAGGCAGCTTCTGTTGTTGGAGCTCCATGCAAACCAAGCTCTCTGACTCCTGCAAATTGTTGTCTGGACAGCTACAACAATTCACCCCAGGCAACCCGATTTGATGAACTGTGAATGCACATTCGATCAAACCATATTTTCCCAGCTGTGTAGTTGAACTCCATGACAAAATCCAATCTAATCCAGCCTACTGTAGGTACACAGTCATCTTTCTATTGTACTACACTGGCATAATTTAGAAACTATGTTAAGATTAGACCACTGTAACACGCTCTACATGGGGCTACCTTTGAGGCTGATGTGGAAACTCCAAGTGGTGCAGAATGCGGCGGCCAGACTTCTTAGTGGTGTGAGGAAATACCAACACATCACACCCACTCTGGCCGCATTGCATTGGCTGCCCATTCGGTTCTGCATTGACTTCAAAGTGTTGATGCTTACATATAAAGCCCTATAAGGTTTAGGGCCTCGATATTTGACGGAACGCCTTCTCCCACCAAGAACTACCCGGGTCACTCGATCGAGTCAGGAGGTGAGGCTGAGGAGCCTTACACCGAGGGAGGCCTGAAAGGAAAAAACAAGAAACTGGGCCTTCTCAGCGGTGGCTCCTCACCTCTGGAACAACTTGCCTCCAGAGATTCGTGAGGCCCCGTCGCTTGGTACTTTCAAGACCAATCTAAAAACATGGATGTATAATCAGGCCTTCCCTCCAGATTACAATTAATTTCCCCCCCTTCTTTACCTATTATGTGCTATTTTTCGCCATCTTGAAGAATTTGCTTATTGTTTTTCCTTATTGTTTATTGTTTAATTGTTTACTTTTGTATATTTTTATTTTTTGTTATATGTAAGTCTGCATTTTTATCTGTCTGGAAGCCACCTAGAGTGGTTGTTTCGACCAGATAGGTGGGGTATAAATAGAATAAATAAATAAATAAATAAATTCTTTAATTTTTTTCATTCTGTCTCCCTCTCGCATCAGCTTCATATAGTTCACGTAAAAAGCAACCTGACTCTTGAAGAAGCAAAAAAAGATCCAGAAGGAATTGCTGTCCTGGCATTCTTCATAAAGGTGATAAACAGAATGACCAATACTGTATTAGCGCCTGGTAAGGGCCGGCGATTACTCAGAGGATGCACTTATTCAGGATTCCCTGAATCCCCCTGAGCTGTTCATGGCACTGCCTTCCAAAAAGAAGGCGGTGAGGAACGTTTAGAGACGAACATTCCCTCATGAATGCCCCTTCATTTCCCCACAGAAGTCAAAGAATGCTTCTGCTATCAACGCATGGAAGACACTAGGAGACTTCATGGAAGCAATTCCGGAGAAAGGTGAACCTCTGCCCACAATTCTGTGGAAAATTAAACTCTTTAGCATCAGCCTCTGAGCTCAGAATTCCACATTTCTCCTTCTTCCTGCAGGTGACTCTGTGCCTCTGAATGGTAAATTTTCTCTAGGGGGTTTATTGAATATGGCAGATGTAAGCACCTATTACCGCTACCATGGCTCTCTCACCACTCCCGGCTGCAATGAAGCTGTGATCTGGACTGTCTTCCCCGAGCCCATTGAGATGAATCAGAAAACGGTGAGTGGCGGTATCAATCTCTCTTGAGTTTTGAGGAGAGTAGGCAGCTGAAGGGCAGAATCTGATTGTTTTTGTATATATTTTTTATGACAAACAGAGTTTACTGGCATCCAGACAGCTAAAAGCTAGGAATCATGGACTCTTTTGAAACATATGTAGATTGCCGGGTTCTTACCACAAATAAGTTTTAGATTTCACCTCACTTATCATGGCTGAGTCTGAGCACATTTGCAGAATAGCTCGCCATGTGAATCGCTTTTGGTGCTGTTTGATTTATGATACTGTATTCACACGTGTTTTGACTTAGAGTGATTGATCCTTCCCCTTTTTAGAGATGTTTCCTTCCTTTCTGACACTGTGGTGAGCTACAGTTTTTTTTACATGACTTGTAGCACTTGTTAGCCCATTCTATAACCCTGTGAGGGTTCCATCTTGGCATTAACGGTCTCCACAACAAAATCACGAGTTGTCTTGAATTTCAAACTAGGGGTCAGGTTTATTGGGGTATTCAACAAAAAGTCCTTATCAAGTATGTTATTCCATAATTTATCTCCCATCAACAACGGGTTGGATGGGGGTGCCCATTCTTCATTTTCAAACAGTTTAGAGTCCTCAACATTACCTCAGGGTCCAGTCCAGAGGGGAACCTCATTTCCCCTCAGCAATTCGTCGGCTCTCTCATCCAGGAGTGGGGTGGTCTCATCCTCATCCAGCTGGTCATCTTGGATCTCTCTGGTCTCTCGAAAGGGGTTCCAGGCTCCTGTAAAAAAAAACCCCTCCTCCTCGCCTCCTCCACTGGCCATTCTCTTCTTTCTCTCTCCTCCCATTCAACTCTTTCTTTTTCCTCCCTTAACCTTCTTCTCCACTCTCTTGCTTCCAATCTACACATGAAACGGACGGCACTCCGGCGAGAGCCTGTTTGCTCTCGCCCCGGGTCTCACAAACCCATGCAGATGGTTAGTCTGCACAAAAATTGAGCTGTGGGTGGTATGATCTGAGGTAACAACCCTGTAATATGAAGCTGTGATCTGGACTGTCTTCCCCGAGCCCATTGAGATGAATCAGAAAACGGTGAGTGGCGGTATCAATCTCTCTTGAGTTTTGAGGAGAGTAGGCAGCTGAAGGGCAGAATCTGATTGTTTTTGTATATATTTTTTATGACAAACAGAGTTTACTGGCATCCAGACAGCTAAAAGCTAGGAATCATGGACTCTTTTGAAACATATGTAGATTGCCGGGTTCTTACCACAAATAAGTTTTAGATTTCACCTCACTTATCATGGCTGAGTCTGAGCACATTTGCAGAATAGCTCGCCATGTGAATCGCTTTTGGTGCTGTTTGATTTATGATACTGTATTCACACGTGTTTTGACTTAGAGTGATTGATCCTTCCCCTTTTTAGAGATGTTTCCTTCCTTTCTGACACTGTGGTGAGCTACAGTTTTTTTTACATGACTTGTAGCACTTGTTAGCCCATTCTATAACCCTGTGAGGGTTCCATCTTGGCATTAACGGTCTCCACAACAAAATCACGAGTTGTCTTGAATTTCAAACTAGGGGTCAGGTTTATTGGGGTATTCAACAAAAAGTCCTTATCAAGTATGTTATTCCATAATTTATCTCCCATCACCAACGGGTCGGATGGGGGTGCCCATTCTTCATTTTCAAACAGTTTAGAGTCCTCAACATTACCTCAGGGTCCAGTCCAGAGGGGAACCTCATTTCCCCTCAGCAATTTGTCATCTCTCTCATCCAGGAGTGGGGTGGTCTCATCCTCATCCAGCTGGTCATCTTGGATCTCTCTGGTCTCTCGAAAGGGGTTCCAGGCTCCTGTAAAAAAAAAACCCTCCTCCTCGCCTCCTCCACTGGCCATTCTCTTCTTTCTCTCTCCTCCCATTCAACTCTTTCCTTTTCCTCCCTTAACCTTCTTCTCCACTCTCTTGCTTCCGATCCACACGTGAAACGGACGGCCCTCCGGCGAGAGCCTGTTTGCTCTCGCCCCGGGTCTCACAACCCATGCAGATGGTTAGTCTGCACAAAAATTGAGCCGTGGGTGGTATGATCTGAGGTAACAACCCTGTAATATATTTGGTGGGTTGTAGCATTGAAAGGGATGATGAAAAAACCTCCTCTTCTCTATTTTCATCTACTCTACCATTTTACAATTTTTATATTTCTTCCTATTGATGCAGCGCTATTCTAGATAAACAAGATACATTGGGGCTATTATGTGTACCATGCTTCGATGTTTCACTATGTTACTGAAAGCTTGTCCACACAGACGTTTGTCCTGCTGTTTGATGAACTGATGGGTTGGGTTAGTTTGCTCTTTTTTTCTGGTGTCTGCATGTGGACATCACTGGAATGGACCAATTTCCCCCACCTACACCTTTTAAATTTTATTAATTCAATCAAAGTGGTTTGTCACAATCTCACAGATACAATAAAAATAATTTAACTTCCCCAACCTTTCACAATGTTAGGGGAAGTTTTCAGTTTTCAGAAACTAATATCAGAAATTGATATTGGAAGAAACTGCAAGGCTCCAGTTTAGTCCATTCAAGGCAACCATACTGACTGGGAATGGATTAAACTGGAGCCTTCCAATCCACACTAAAATAGTAGAACCTCCTGAGGGTCCAAAATTAATTGTGTACAATCAATGGCAAGCAGGAATGTAAATTCAGAAGAGCCAGAGGTGGAGAACATAAGTGTACAACACAATTCGAGCACATGGAAGTTGAGTTCTGGAAGCTGCAACAAATGGTCAGAAGCTGGTAGTTACAAGTGGTCAAGGTCCAAAGAGAGGACACTATGGAGGACAGACGCTAGATGATCTCACAGCAAGACCGGCTGTTGTGATTTGAGCATCCCTCGTGTCAGAGCTTGGCTTTCTCTATTAGCAGACTGAACGCTCAGTCAGTTAGCAGGATGGCCATGAGAAATACACTGTAATCTGTGCAAAAGGTTCCTGGCATTAAAAACTGAACACTCTCCACACACCCTCACACCTTCTCAGTTCCATTGCTATTTTCTGTATAACCTGAGCGTGACATGTCCTCCCAGGATGGAGGCAGGAAAATTGTCTTGAGAGGACTTCAGCATACTCTGAGAAGCTCACACACTAAACCTATCACAAGCAATGCCTTGGTGTGCCATCGCTCCTGGATCCTTCCCCTAGGATGTTTACAAAGGGATTCATGTTTATAGGTGTGGGCTTGGCAGCAGCCGTTGAAACTTCTTGGCAACTATCCTGAAAACTGTTTGTAGGTAGTATCTTATCTTTGCTACTGTTCTGAGTGGGTTTGATAAAGGAAGGCAATTTTGGGTCTAGGCCCTGGAGTTTTGACTTTAGAAATTCAGCGCTGGTCCTTTTTATTGCATCCATTTCCTGACCTTACACAAAGTGCTAACACTTGATTCTTTTCCAACTTCCTTTCTCTCCTTCTTCTTCCATCCCTTTGCCCTGACTGTTTTCCTTTCCTTTTGTCTAGATGAAGAAATTCACCAATTCGCTCTACGTCTCCACCAAAAGGGAAAACAGGCTGCTGCAGAAGAACTATCGCCCTCTGCAACCACTACGCAATCGCAAAGTCTTTCTCTTCAAGGAAAATTAAACTCCATATTATCCAGACTAGTGCTCTTCTTCAAAGGAGTTTTGAGCCTGCATGAATATGTGTGTCTGTCTGGACATTCTCTCTCTCTGGATGCCCATCCTTATTGCTGGGGTTGGCAACTATCATGATTTATCTCCACAAATCTTTCGCTGTGTCAACTAGTTGTTCTTTATTAAGGCCTGGCCAGTTTCTGATGTTACTCATCGAATAAGTTTTACCTCTTCCATGTTTACCTTCGCTGAACTCTTCCCTTCAATGAGGTATTTAAGTATAGCGTACTGTATTTGTTGTGATGAATTATATCTCCAAGATATGACTCATTTTTTAAAAATTATTTTCCTATCCAATAAAATATCTCTCCTTTTTTATTATTCTCTCAGCTCATGGGTTGTGAAGGATTCTTCTATACATCCACAATTCAAATGATTTTATTCTATTGAGTAACTCCTTCTTAATAGTCCAGACCTCATATCTGTATAGGAAGACTGACCATATGTAACATTTCAGCATCCTCAGTCTCAAAGGTACATTGAACTGTTTATTACCCAGAATGTTATTCCGCATAGGAGCAGAATATCATTACCCAATACTCAGGAAAGCTATATTTCCTGAGGTAGATTAAAACTCCCAGAAGCCTTCACCACTAGCTGTGCTGATCAGGATTTCTGGGAGATGTAGTTCAAGAACATCTGGGCAACCAAGGTTAGGAACCACTGCTATAAAGATGCCTACAGTACTTCAAATAAAGTAGTTTATGGGTGTGATCAGGGAGCTGGAAATCTATTTTCCTATGTGATCTCACTCTATGATGAATTTTATAACTTGGCAATATTATCCTCATTTATTACAATTGATTTTAGGATTTTGTTTCCCCCCCGATGATTGACAGTGCCATTTTGTTACTTTATTTTTTGAGCTGATCTAATGGTGCTGGAAAATCTCCTGATCCTCTGGATATCCAGACTCGGTCTTCAATGTATTTTAGAGTACACCCTATTATTTAAGAGTGCTTAATCTTTTCTGAATAAATATTAAAGAAAATTGGTAACAAGATACATCCTTAATGGGCTCCTCTTCTAATTTCTACTTCTCTAATTAATTCTTCATCTATTTTAATCTTAGCTATTTGTTCCCAGGATAAGTTATTTATTATATGTATATTCTATAATGTGATTATTACAGATAGAAAAATGGCAAGGAATCTCCTCTGTTGTTTGGGTTGATTCGATGTTTTCCTATGGCAGTTAAACCACTGCTCTCATCCACATTAAACATTTAACTATCCAGGGCAGTTTTGGGGGCAAGACCACACCTCAAATCACTACAGTTCTCACTGGGATCATAAGGTTGTCCACTCTCCTCTGTCAATAGCACTGTTTGCCTCTCTACCTCTTGAAAACAATTTTTTGCAAGTGGCATAGCACTGAATTGATATTATAATTTATGCTTATCTGACATAGTGCTATACTGGAAAAACACAATAAGAATGGGAGACAGGAGGCAGTCACTTGAGAGGGGTGTTCCTGTTGTAATGGTATGATATGTCCTGCTAAAGACACAGCAGGAACATTCATTTGAAGTAAGCACCCCTTCTTTCTCCTCTGAATAATTTTTATTGTGCAGTTTCAGTATAGCGCTATGTCCTACAAGCACTGCAGCTTTAGAAGTTGCCATATCAATTCAGTGCAAAAATTTAAAAAAAACCAACAACACCCACTGTCAATGTCACCCTAGGCCATGCCCAACAATGCCCCTTTGGATGAATATAGGTTAACACACATGCCAGAAACTTTAAAAAAAAAAGCAATGCGAGCAGAATCACTAAAGAAGCATTGCTGGCTGAACAAAAAGCAATAAACGCCCACGGAAAAAAGACTTACAATTAGTTGTATGTTGTATAGTCAATGGAAAACACACCGAGTTTAACCATGCCAACTCTGACACAAACTGCAAGGCAAATCTCAGTGGAATTGCACCCTTGGAGGATTTAGCAGGAGCATCAAGTTCCTGCAGCTAGATATTTCATTTCTATCCACTGTCTGTCAAAACGTTTCTCTCAAGTTTATCGAAACAGGTTGCCTTCCAGTAGGGAGACAATCTTCTCTCTTTCCTACCACCATTTTTAAAGGTACGCTCACAAAAACAGTTTTGCAAAATTAATTAATTAATTAAAATAAACCGCCACTGCTACACATACACACTTGGCTGTTTTTCTTTAATAAGACTTAGCATTCATTCATACCATCTCTATATCAAGTAGATACAAACTCATGAGATTTCATTCGAGGACTGGCCATACCAGAATAATTTTCAGGAACTGAACCTAGAAGGCTTTGTTCCTTGGCATGCATCCCACCCCAGCATGGAAATAAAAGATTGGAGAGAGCAGATCATTTTTAATTCTTCTTTCTCTCCCTCCCCTCTCTTTTAACAACCTCAGCCCTCAAAATGTGTAAATACAAAAGATTGCTCCAATTTAACAGACATGGCTGCTCTTTCCATTTATGCTGAGGTCTGACTTCATCTCAGTGTACTTCTGCCTACCAGGAAGAGGAGGTCATTTCAGGTTTTGATATCAGAACAGAAGAAAACACATAAGACAGCTTTACAAGACTTGTTTCAACACGAACCTCCTTCTATGGAAAAATCTGATGAATACGTTGTTGTAGAATAACCCAGTGCAGTGTATTGGTTAAAATGATGTGACTGGGAAATCTAAGCTCAAATCTCCATTCTGCTGCAATGCTGGCTGGATGACACTGTTGCTGTCAAAGCATCTCTGACAGGTGTTGAAATCATATTAGTATTCTCTGGGAGTTGGAAGAAACTTATGCTGTGACACCCAAAGACCATTCTCTCTTGAGGGAAATTAAGGCGTAAGTTCCCTTCAGTTCCCTACTCTTCTAATGGCAGGGCTACCTGTAACCTCCGTTTTGGCCTCCTCTCCTCCTCTCTCTCATGTACCTCACAAGAGTTGTGGGCTAGAAGAGAGTGTGGCCAAGTGGTTAAGGCACTGCATTGTTCTCTGCCCTTTTTTAAAAATTTGATTTATATCTCGCCCATCTGGTCTATACGACCACTCTAGGTGGCTTGCAGGTTCCAATCCCACTTTGTGGGAACAAAATTAGGTTGTTGACCCAGTGTGCTGTTGTGGGTAGAGTACTGGACTAGGATTCAGGATGTTTGGGCTTAAATCCCTACTGGGCCATGAAAATTCATTGGGGGTGGTGGTACTGCTATGATTATCTTACATATCTTGCAAACCATTAGGACTGCAAAAAGCTATAAGTGTAATGTAGCTGGACTGCACATAGAGTACTGGACTAGGATTCAGGATGTTTGGGTTTAAATCCCTACTGGGCCATGAAAATTCATTGGGGGGGGGTGGTACTGCTACAATTACACTTTAAATATCTTACATATCTTGCAAACCATTAGGATTGCAAAAAGCTATATGTGTAATGTAGCTGGACTGCACGTAACAAGGTGAGAACAGCAAATGGACCACCCCATGCTTCTTGGAGGAAAGGTAGTTAAATAATGCACTAATTCCCAAGCTTGGGTAATGCAAATGTTCTTGGACTGCAGTTCCCAAAAGCCTTCCCCACCAGCTGTGCTGGATGGGGTTTCTGGGAGTTGCAGTCCAAGAACACCCAGGTTACCCAAAGTTGAGAACCACTGATACAATGGAATGGCTAATCACATATTAATGATATATGAATTATGATAAGAATGCTTATTATTCCTTACTTCTGTTCATTTATATATGCCTACACACAAACACACACACACTTAATTGAATTGCTGTGCATATCAGTTCTTTAAGGGCCAAACTGGACAGGTTGTTTGCCATTTAATTTGCTCTTGGGAATATGGGCTCGATACTGTCCCTCATGCTGTTTAACATCTACATGGAACCGCTGGGAGAGGTCATCAGGAGGTTTGGGCTGAGGAGTCAGCAGGTAATGTGGGCAGTATATAAGTTAAATAAATAAATAAATAAATTTTAAAATATCCATAGCCCAAATTAACTATGACATGTGGTTTTCATTAGGAGTTTCTGCCCCATTGCTTCTGTTTTTCTCTCTCTTAATGACACAATAACAAGATATGTGCAAATATCATTTCTAATCTAGCATCAAGTCACATCTTATTTGTTAGTCCTTTTCAAAGCTATTTTACATTAGAGGTATCAAAAAAAGCAATAGGTAAGTAACATCCCTTGTTTTCCCACTCCTTAATGTTTATGGCTGAAACAGAAATTTAAAAAAAATGTTTCCATTACTATGGAGTGACTGGTAGCTTAAAAAAATCATAGGCCTTTGTAACAGAGGATTATATAGTTCTGTTCTGCAATTAAAAAATTAAGGGTTAAGAAGAAACAAACCAATGCTAGGATTAAGAGGCACTTCAAAGGTGGCTGTTTCCTCCAGTGTTTTCACCTGAGGAGAAATCTTAACAAGAACAATGGTATGTAGCATGACAGGAAGTGGGGGAAATCTAAGTGCTCTATCACTCTGGGGTTAATTCAGTCCAATAGTTAATCTAAACTAAAGTTGACCATTATATGAACGGAATTTGTTAAGTCATCTCCTGATGTACCAACTAGTTTGAAGAGTCACAGACTCTGCTAAAACTAGAGCTGAAATTAATTTTGAAATTAACAAACAAAGAAACATGAATCAATTCTGTACAGAAAAAATTGAACATCCAAATCCACCTCAAACTCTATATTTGCCCTGATTTCCCCCCCTTCCTTTGCTTTTCTGTAGCTTTTCAGTTTGGGTGTATTGAAAGCCAGTATCATTGCTCAAATTCTGGTGACAATACCAATGAGTTTAAGCCCAAACAATTATTTGGGATACTTTAAAGTATCATGTGTTTTTTGCGAAAGGTTGGACACCCCTGCTTTAAAGTATCATGTGTTTTTGCTTTTTGCCTTTTAATTGAGAGTCTGAGATTTTCAAACACCAAAACTAGCTAGTTTTGAGTAGATAGTTTCATGTGAGTTCTACGAGTAGCTCTTACAGACCAGCCTTCCTTAAAGCTGGACGTAGAAATTCCATCTGTCTCTTCTTCGTACTCCTTGCTTGGCTGAAATGTACACTTCCCATCCTTTTCACATCATTTGAGTTGATAAGGCAGATGGTGGTGAAATACATAACAGTTTCTGGTGGGATGGGAAGGATAGTGTTCTGGCTTTGAACCCTGAGAAGAGCCTGCTAACTCACCCTCCATCTGGTTTCCACCTCCTCAGGCCTTTATGCGGGTAAGAAAGACATAAGAGTAAGGATGAAAAGAAAGAGGGGAAATGTTGCTGACTGAGAGACAAGGGAGGCAGCAGAATGAAGCTTGAAAGATGCTTCCACTTTCCGGTCCCCATTCTTCTGTAAAGGGCGATTGTTATTCTCTAGCTGTGGCCCATTGGAGGACTCTGTCGAATAGAGTTCAGATGGAAAGGCCTCAACCTATCAAGGGAGGGAAAAGCAAGACATTAGGCGGCTTGAGAAAACATCTAAGTAGGAAGAAATTTAGGAAAACAACATTAGGAAAGCATGTAAATGCGAATAGATAAATAGGTACCACCTCGGTGGGAAGGTAACGGCGTTCCGTGTCTAGTCACGCTGGCCATGTGACCACGGAAACTGTCTACAGACAAACGTTGGCTCTATGGCTTGCAAACGGGGATAAGCACCGTGCCCTAGAGTCGGACACGACTGGACTAAATGTCAAGGTGAAACTTTACCTTATAACATTACCAAAAAGGCCATGTATTTTTAAAATCAACTGATTGTTTAAACTTAGTGGCCCTAAGCCAGTGGTCAGGGAACAGGGGTAAATTACCCCAAATGGGGTAAAAATGAAAATCCTGGGGGTAATGAGGATGAGCAAAGCCCCAATATTGATGCTCTCATATCCAAGATGAAGCAACATCATTTCTCCAAATTCTGAAGTTTTCAAGTAAGTTGAAGCTTTCAAAGTAATTTTGAATAGATTCAATAAGATTTTGAATTCAAATAATGTATGATTTCCTTCCTTTCAAATCAAGGGGGTAATTTCAACATATATAAATTTTTGGGGGGTAAAAGGTAAAAAAGTTCCCTGATCTCTGCCCTAAGCTGTAGGTTACTTAGCTTGTGTATAAATCTGGCACTGCATATAACAGGAATTAGCATCACTGTACAGTACTTTTTTCCCCAGAATATTGTGAACAGGGCATGGTATGTGATAAATACATAATTTATAATAATATCTTGGAACTGTAGAGCGAGACCCTATGGATCATTGAGTCCGGTCTCTGTCAAAGAGGCACAGTAGGGAATCGAACTCTCAACTCTGGCTCTGCAGCCGGATGCCTAAACCACTGGGCTATATAAATTTAATGACATGTTACGGTGCCATTCCTTGTCTCTGTCACCAGGAGGCTTCCTGTGCATCACCATGCTTCTTTTTCATCAAGACCATCTTCTTTGGTGTTGCCTTATCCTTATCCTTAGCCACCCTTCCACTGCCACTTGGCTGCCTAGATCAACCCCAAGAACTTGCTCTATATTCCTGACCTCTCTTACCCATCTCTCATATGAAATGCTAGTTTTTAATTCTTGTATTTGTTGAATTCTTTTTAAATACTGCAGTACGTTGTTCTTAAGATTTTAATACTGTAAGCCACCTTGGGTCCATTTTAGGAGAAAAGTGGGGTCTGAATATTGTAAATAAATAAATGCAGCTGAAATATATATACAGAACTCCCCATTTTAGGAGAAAAGTGGGGTCTGAATATAGTAAATAAATAAATGCATCTGAAATATATATACAGAACTCCTGGACAGCTCATTGGTTTAGGCATCTGGCTACAGAGCCATAGATTGGGAGTTCGATTCCCCACTATGCCTCCTTGACAGGGGATGAACTCAATGATCCATAGGGTCTCATCCAGGCTCTGCAGTTCTAAGATTAAGAGAGAGTGTGTGTGTGCTTTAAAGGTAAAAGGTAAAGGTTCCCCTTGGCAATTTGTGTCCGACTCTAGGGGGCGGTGCTCATCCCTGTTTCCAACAGCTAGCGTTTTGTCCCCAGACAATCCTCCATGGTCACGTGGCCAGCGTGACTAGACACGGAACGCTGTTACCTTCCCATCAAGGTGGTACCTATTTATCTACTTGCATTTTTACATTTTGCATGCTTTTGAACCGCTAGGTTGGCAGGAGCTGGGACAAGCGATGGGGGCTCACGCCATCGGGTGGATTCGATCTTACGACTGCAGGTCTTCTGACCTTGCAGCACAGAGGCTTCAGCGGCTTAACCCGCAGTGCCACCATGTCCCTTAGCACCAACGCGTCCTTTTAGGGACCAGAATAATGAGACCTAGGAGAGCTAAGTACAAGTCCCCACTGAACTATTAAAGTCTATGGGTCCGACCTCCCTCACAGCGTTATTGTGAAGCTAGAAAATAAAGGATGACACCCTTGTTTGCTATCTTGAGATCACGCAACAAAAATGGGACAAATAAATAGCTATATCATGGTATATCACTGTAAAACAGTGCTGCTGCTAATCAGCAGCAATCATAATCAGACCTAGCAGCTTTTGGAATCTCTGCCCTCTTTCTTCTAAGCAAGCCCTCCCGTTTTCCTCTACTTCCTGCCCTGTACCTTGCTGCTGAGGCTGCTGCTCTTACTCACCACTTTGGGAGGTACCAAAATAGGATCAGTAAAGATGGTCCAGATGACAACCTCGTTGCAGCCAGGAGTGGTGAGAGATCCAAGATAGCGGTAGTAGCTGGCAAGGTCTGTGGAGCCCAACAAGTCTAGCAGAGAGACGGTACTTTCGAGTTCCTCTTCTTTGCCTGTACAGGAGAGGGAGGGTCAGAAGAACTCAATCAGACAATGAGAAAGAATTACATCTGATTGCACCAGAAAGGTTTGCTTTGCCAGAAGTGGTCTGACCTGCAGTTGGACCAAAAAAGTCCAGCTCAGGGATTGGACTGGATTGCAATTGTCTGTCTGTATGTTGTGCGATCACTGGGAAATAACTTGCACCACACTGTGCCACGAAGAGTCCAGAATGTGAGCGGTTTCCCCATCTGATTGCATCCTTAGTGGCATCCATCTTCCAAATTTAAAATCAATTTCAATCCAGTTTTAGCAGTAAGTATCACAGAAAAACTGAGAGCCAATTAAAATGTTAAGTGCCAAGATGTACTCCAGACTCTCGCGAGGTGTCCAATTTTCTTCTAAGGATTAAATGCCTATTCCTGAGGCTTGCACTTAGGGAATGGCAATAATCACACCATTTTGAAATTAGTTACAGCTGGAAGCAAAAACAACCAAAAATATCCGTTGTGGATGCTCACAAACAGGAAAAGAGCTCCATATTCTTTTAGGCTTTTCTGGCAGACCGACCTTTTACAGATACTTTTTCAAGGTTCTTTATAAATTCTTCCCAGGCTTCAGCTGTCTTGGCCGTCACATTTTTAGAGCCCTGAAAGATAAAGAAAATGGTAAGAGACGTCACAGCCAGGACGTGTGATGAAAGAATCCACCGATTTTAGAATCCAGCATCTCCCATTTTAATCATTCTCCCAGTGACAAAATCATGTCATTTGGAAGGGGAAAGAATTAAACTACAGTCCCCAGAGCAATTTTGAAAAAAGTAATTAAAACCAAATGTTACAAAAGCAAAAGTAGCTGATGGGAGCATTGTTAACAGGCATAACTTGGTCTTTTTCCCTTACCTCAACAAAGAATCCTAACACAGCAATGCCTTCTGGATCCTTCACTGCATCTGAGATGCTTAGGTTGTTTTTCGTATGCACAATGTGTAACTGGGGAGATTAAAATATGGTGAGTTTGGGATAGGTCTAGATAAAAATTATCACATATGAGAGATCTCTAAGTGTTCTTTTCCTTATCACAGTCCTTAGATCTACTCATTTTAAATTTCTTATAGGTTCTCTGACTTAGAAGCCCTGCGTATTAATTCAGAGTAGATGGCCTTTAGTGTTACACAAGAATAAGCTGGCTGGATAGCTCAGTGGTTTCGTTTGGGAGTTCGATTCCCCACTGTGCATCTCAGGAGAACAGCCAGCCTGTGTGGCCTTGGGCAAGCTGTGCAGTCCCGGGGTGAGCCCAGAAGAAGGGAAGGGCAAACCACTTCTGAGTATGCCATACCTGGAAACCCCTAAAAATGGTCGCCATGAGTCAGAATTGACCTGATGGCGCATCATATTAATAATAATGAATAAAATATGCAAGAATTAAAGAAATGTGCTTTCTCCATGATCACGGTACATATTATTTTAATTATTATTCTTTTTTTGCTTCTTTAAACTTTCCAGGACAGAGTTGCGGCTCATACTAAGGCAGAACTAATACAAGTATCCAGAGGGGAGGATTAAAATCCGCAAATTCCCAAACAGTACGGCCAACGGCAATCCAAATTTTCCAAGTTCTCATCTCAACTCCTAAGAGCACTTAAGGGCTATCAGGCTCTGAATGGAGTGACCCAAAATTGTTAGGATGAGAAATATATCCTTACCTCCATGGCGTAACGTTTTCCATTGATATAATGTTCGGATCCTGGCCTAGAGACACCATTCCCCCAGTGGAGGTGGAAAGCTTTGGCTGTATATGGAGCCGGGAAACCGGGGCCACTCAGGAGGAGACCACTAGCCAATTCTATGTCAACTGCAGGAAAAAACGGGATTGAAAAATAGACACATCTCGATGAAAGGTAATTAAGTTGGAGCTCAGAAAATTTACTGTTGTGGGCTACAACTCACAACTGGGGATCCCCAGCCAGCATGGTTAATTGGTATGTAGGCAGGGGGATTCTGGGTCCTGAACACCAAAGAAGTAAAGGCTCTGGAATTTATTAAAAACGAAAAGGCTTCCTGGTTATGCAACCATTAAAAGCTGGGATGGAAATCAACGGAGAACGTCAGCATTCCCCTCACCTCACAAAAGCTACACCTGATTTGCATAACTTGGTGGGAGTTGTTCTGATATGCATTGAGTAACTTAAGCCACAGGTTGATTCAGACACTTGGGAAAGTAAAATCAGCATAAGCGGCTGGATATTTTATATATCCATATCCACACACCCTTTCTATTTGGACGACGTTTAATGGACTGTGGATTACAGGAGCATTTGCAGGAAAATGGGATGGCGCAATCGTCAGAGGTGACTCAGAAACCATGTGCGGTGGAGGAGAGACATCCAAGGCAATATATCTTATTTGTGAGAAGAAGGTGAGCTTTGTTTTACATTAGATTTCTAAAAAACAAATACAAATTTATTTTATTTATTTATCGAAAATATTTTAACCCTATCTTTCTCCTTAAAAGGGCCCAAATGTGTTTTGCATCAGTGCTACCACCCTAAACATATTTTCTTTGGAATAAATCCTATGGACTTCATTGGGGTTATGTTTCTGTGCACAATTTAGTTGGTTGGTTCTATAATGCCCTAAGCAGCTTGGATCCAAGCTATCTCGAGGACCCTGCCTCCCTTTATGAACCTGTTCAGGTTTTAAGATCATCAGGAGATGCCTTTCTCTCTGTCCCACCACTTTCACAGGTGTGTTTGGTTATAACATGGGAGAGAGACCTTCTCTGTGGCTGCTCCCAGACTCTGGAACTCTCTCCCACAGGAGGCCAGGCTGGCTTCATCTTCACTGTCCTTCCGCAAGCAGGCAAAGACCTTTCTCTTCACGCAGGCTTTCCCTGAGTGACTGGGGTTTTGAATGAAGCATTGTACCGTGTTGCTTTGAATGTCTTTTTAGTGTTGATTTTTTGAAACCATTTTAAGTGTGGTATTTGTCTTATCTTTTTTAGTATCTGTATACTTACTGTTTATAACTGTAAATATTGTCTTTTAATGATGTAAGCCACTTTGGAACCTTTTTAAGGATAAAGGCGGGCAAAATAAATAAATAAAAATAAATAAATAATATTTCCCATGAGCACACTTAGGTTAGAACTACTGGACTTAGATAGAAAAGGAAAACATGAATAAAAGGAAAAATACAAGGAGCCCTTTGTAACAAAAAAATATTTCAGTGTTCTGTCTGAAGAAGTAGATCGTTATTTATGGCAGCTCACACTGAAACAAACATTAGTCCTTAAAGTGCCGCAATGCTTTCGCTTATATTGTTTGTGACAATACATCCTTTGTACTCAGGCAGCGTTGACTGGATCGTGTGTTGTTTGTGGCAATATGTTATTTTTCCTGAAACTCTTCAACACCGTTGGAGTTTTTAATGTAAGCCTACTTACATTAGAATTATTTTGATTTGAATCTCATAAAATGATCATAATCTGTATGGGAAAAATGTTTTACATCAAATAGCTAGAGGAGTTTAGCAATGAATGGGAATGTGGTTGGAGATGTAAATTCTCTGCTTGTCTCTCTTCACTTCTTTTAACCACATTATTGTGCTGGGAAAAGGGACTTTCTGGATTCAAACTCCCAGAAACCCCAGCCATTTATAGTTTAAGAAGCCAGTTTTCTCCGGTTCTTGTTGCTGGAGCACAAATACAGCAGGCCTAAAAAGTAGAGCACGGAATCTCTGGTCCAGCTAAAGTCTGTTGCGATTAAACAATTGCACCGTCACCTGTTTTCCCAGTGTTCTTTATCTCCAACAGTTTTTCCCTGTCACCGTAGCCAGTGAGATTCACAGCACCCAGGCTCGAGTTATAAGTGGCTTTTCCAGAAATGATGTCAATCGGAGACTGTCTCTTGCCGTTACAATGACCGAGGGATAACCATGTGTTAGGCGCTTGTCAAGAGAGGAGGGTGGGTGAAAACAGCCAAGAACAAAATACATGAGAATCAGTGGGTAAACATGTTTTTTTTAAAAGAGTTGCCCAAACACTGGCCATCATGAAGGTTATATCCTCAGCTTATCCCTCCCATACGTTCTTAGGTCTAGATCAAGTTGTGGTTCCTAAGAGTTGAGAAAAGTGCACAGGGCACATGCTAAGGGGCACATTTCACTCAACACAGAGCACGGCCCTTGAGTTTTGGACTGAGAAGTTTTAGTTTCAAGTGTGATCAGATGGCGAGAAAGGATCAGGCCTGAAAGGGTTGCTTTGCTAGCTGTGATCTCCCTTAAAGCAACCTTTCTGTCTGCTGGGGAATTGCTCCATCCTAGCCCCCCCACCGGCCTGAAAGGGTTGCTTTGCTAGCTGTGACCTCCCTTAAAGCAACCTTTCTGTCTACTGGGGAATTGCTCCATCCTAGCCCCCCCCAAAAAAAGGCTAGCTCTCCTGCTGGACTCAAAAGGTCCAGCTTGGGCATGCATTGGGGTCACCCTAAGATTCAATGATATAAAGAGAAAGGCTCCCCCCCCCTTACCACATCGTGGTTCATTGTAGCACCAGGCATCTGTAAAGGAAAGAAGCACAGAGGGCATAAGCTTTCACACTGAGGAATTTTCCTTTACTACCAACACCTACTCCCTCCACCCCAACAGATACCCAGATTAAAAGACTGGTACGATGGAAATGTGAGGTGATACCTTCAGGAATTGTGTAGCTTTCTGCTGACAGCAAAACAACCAGAAGAAGGGTTTTTGGTAACCAAACAGGAGCCATCATATGTGGTGTCAGCTAGAGAAAAAGGTGCAGGGGAAAAAGGTGCTCAAATGAAGCAATTCTTGAACAAATGTGTGCAGATAGAAATACACCAAATTTGTTACCATCCATCCGTCCATGATACCTTCAGGAATTGTGTAGCTTTCTGCTGACAGCAAAACAACCAGAAGAAGGGTTTTTGGTAACCAAACAGGAGCCATCATATGTGGTGTCAGCTAGAGAAAAAGGTGCAGGGGAAAAAGGTGCTCAAATGAAGCAATTCTTGAACAAATGTGTGCAGATAGAAATACACCAAATTTGTTACCATCCATCCGTCCATCTATCTGTAATTCTTGAACAAATGTGTGCAGATAGAAACACACCAAATTCATTACCATCCATCCGTCTATCTGTTATATCTCACCTTTCCTCCACCGAGCTCAAGGCAGTCTACATTGCTTTCCTCTCCACCTTTTTAATCTTCAGAGCAACCCGGCGAGGTAGACCAGCAGGAGCAAGGCATACGATTACACTTCAAGTGTGTCATGCTATAACATGATTTTACATGATTTTGCCATATATCAATGGCAAACGTTATGCCATGGAGGTGTTGGTCAATACTTCTCAAAGATGGAACGCCATATATCAATGGCAAACGTTATGCCATTGAGGTATTGGTCAATATTTCTCCAAGATGGAACGGGGAATGATGTAAATGTGACATTGTGAAATGTGGGAATAGCAGGTGGTGAACAATTAAATTACATAATATGTAAGATGATAGGTTACTGTGTTAAGCCTTGTATTTACTGCTTGTAACATGATGGATTGTCATGACTTATATAAATAAAAATGTGGGGGAGAAAATAAAAAGGAAAAAACAACAGCATTATTTTGCCAGCAACAATGAGGTCTAGAAACTTGTGTAAATTTTGGGGCAGGAAATTGTTATTTTGACTATTCTGTTGTCACAAGCTAGGCAGAGGGCCAATATGAATGGGGAACAATGACACTCAGAGCTTGTGGACATTTTAAAGACTACAGCTCCTAAAATATTCCCATGGCTATCTAGCTATGCTGTGTGGTGGATTCTGGGAGCTGTAGTGGAAAAGTCACAGTCTGAAATGTGTAACATTATATAGCAAAGCTTGCATTTGTAGGAGAAGAAACAAAACCTACACACAAAATCTCATCAACAGTTTAATGCTGGCTGTCAAATGTCAAGTTAAAAAGATGAGTTTTGTTATAACTCCCAGAAGTCTTTGAAAAGTGGAGGAGGGTTCAAACAGCACCACGACATCCATAGTTAGTGGTGTTGGCCACAGCTGGACTTCAAATAATTCTCGAGGACATCAAAAAGACAATGGAAACAGGAGGGACCCCAAACTCAGTGTGACTGGCTAAACCACCTCATGATGTTTAACTGGGATTTATAGCTGAGATTGCTTATCCTGTCAGCTGCCCATGTCATCATGACTTTTTCAGAGGCATATGGCTACAGATTATATATGTTCATGTGATCGCTTGTTTGGATTAGTTGCTTAAGTTTTTTGTGATGTCAAAATCATTTTAGAACTGCACAGCTAGAAGGGACCCTATGGATCAACCCCTATTAAGTGGGGAGTCAGACTCCCAATCCCCACTGAGCTATCTAATGATCATCTTTTTGTGGCTTTTTGAATGTACAATATGATGAACAAAGTTGGAAAGGTAATTTGTTTAATACACTTCAGGTGGCTATTTAGTAAAATCAAGTGTTGCACACAATAAACCTTATATAACGGGGGAAAGTTTGGCATTTTCTTTCACATGTGACTCGTATTTTAACACCCATAATGGATAAAGTGATTGTCACTATTAGTTATTTGTAGATGAATTAATTTGCTTTCCAAAGCAGTTTTAAAATTTAAATCCAGTAGCTCGTTCACATTATAACTTAAACCAGAAAAGCTCGGAAAAGATGGTTCAGTCCCTCTTGAGAACATCATAAAAAGCTTAAACAATTTATCCCAAAAGGTTATCTTATGAAAACATAATTCATAAACATAAATCTTTCAGAAAATGTTGAAATTTTGCCACTCTATATGAGAAGGTAATGTCAATTTTTATATCCTAACCTACAGATTTTGGAAGCCCCTCTTTGAAACGCGAATGCTGATGTTCTAAAAAGGTGTAGGTTAATCTATTTTGGGAGAGGGTTGTGTTGTGGTAATTGGAATCAGAAACATTTTAAAAACAATGGGAATAGAACCTCCGATTTATCTGCACTGGAGAATGCATGAGCACTCCACAGAGATCATTATATATAATCGATCACACACTGGTATACTATTATGTAGGAGGGAAGCTGCAAGGAATTGCAGTCCCAAGAAAGCTGACAGAAAAAAAAGTGATTCATTTGAAATATGGTGCTGGAGGAGAGCTTTGCAGATATCCTAAACTGCCGGAAAGATGAACAAGTGGATCCTAGATCAAATAAAACATGAAATATCTCTAGTGACAAAAATGTTGAAACTAAAGCTGTTCTATGTTGGGTGCCTCAGGAAAACACAGGATTCTCTGCAAAAAATAATAATGTTTGGAAAGGTGGAAGGCGGCAGGAAAAGAGGAAGACAAACTATCATATGGATTCACTTCATCAAGAGAGCCACAGGCTAGAGTTTACAAGAGCTGTGCAGGGAAGTTGAGGACAGAATATTCTGGAGATGGCTCATTCATAATATCAACATAAATCAGAAGCTACTTGACAGCATGAAACAGCAACAACATGCAGGTGTGTGTGTGTTTTTGTTAGGCACACTCAGGAAAGAAAACACACAAGGTCACTGTGCATGGCAATCTACACACATGCCAATATACAGATTTGTTTATTTTCTATAAAAGGGAAGTCACAAAAATGTATACTTATGGTCCTGATAAGAATTTTGAAAATGCCTGAACTAAGTATTAGAACATGGAAAGCAATCATTCTCAGCCTTCATAAACATAATAAAATAGCTTGTAGAACTCACTGTCAGAATTAGTGAGCCTGACTTTTAAAGAAGATTAGACAAGTCTGGGTGAAGTGGACCTAAGAGTGGGTGCTAGCTAGGATCGCAAAATAGAGCTTCCATGTCTGGAGGCAGTGTACCATCGAACACTAGTTGTTGGGAATGAACATCCTGAATTCTACAATTAACACCCTTGAACACCAGATATTGGGAAAAGCTATCGCCTTCACATTCTACTTATATATATTCGACCTGACTGGTCCTTGGAATGAACGCAGCTAGTATATTCTCAGGAAGCAGCAGTGTGCCTCTAAGCACATGCGAAGTGTGTTATTTTCTTGTGTCACTCAGCTGCAGTGCTAACCATCTACGTTAGCAATTGGGATGCAGCCGCTAGAAGAATGGCGAGAAATTAAGTACTGCCACACAAAACCACAATAAAAACAGCAAATTAAAAAAAAACACCAGGAAATTAAAAAGCAACCACAAAAAATGGACCCTTTTGACTTCATCCCCTAAACCAGCGACCATCGGTCTCCCTACCCTTGGAAGGCTTGCTCACCAGCTCACTGTGTGCTTCCTTCCTTCTCTCCAGCAGGACAAGGTAACTCTGATGATGGTGGAAAAGCATCCTAGCCTGCCTTTATACATGTATATATGTATGCATTAAGGTCACCGCCCAGAAAGAGTGTGGAATTACCAAGAAAGGGAGGGTAGATTACAAGAAGGAGGGGAAAGGAGAAGAGGAGGCTGTTAGGTGAGCAGGCTGAGGAAGATGAGCCAGTCCTCAGAAAAAAAAAAGTCACGTTTAGAGCCTTGAACCCATCCTTTGGGAGGAAAGGTGAATCAAAGGATGTGAGAAAGCAAGGCGAGTTACACAATTAGGAAGTGACTCTAAGCAAGACCAAGGCTTCCACATGGGGAAGACCACGTTCGTGTTTACCAAAAGCTTGAACTTCTGCATCATGCTTGTTTGCCTTTCATAAGATGAAGGGTACACCCTCCCCCCCCCCGTGTCTTCATCTAAGTCCTACTGCTTCTAAGGAACCCAGATTTACTGGTTCTTCCTCACAGTTTCTGCTTTTTATCCGGCAGAACTCTTTCCCTTCCCTTGTGACTAAATTCAGCAACTCATGTATATGCATGCACAGTGTCAGAGGAAGATTCTGCTTCTTAATGGCACAGGAGCCCTGAAAAGGGACAGTGGTTGGCCACTATTTCTCTTGCCACACAGGTGATGATATTCACCTCTTCCAGGGATCTACTGTGTTTCCCTAAAAATAAGACAGGGTCTTTTGCTCCCAAAAAACAAACAAACAAACAAAAAAACACCAAAAAACCACACAAGAGCTTATTTTCAGGGGATGTTTTATTTTTTTTCCATGTATAACAATCTACATGTATTCAAATACATTCATGTCATCTTCTTCTGGTTGCTGCACAAGGGTGGAGGGCGGGTTGTCACTTAACGGGGGCTTATTTTTGGGGTAGGGCTTTTTGACGAGGATCCTGAAAAAAATTCATACTAGTGCTTATTTTCAGGGTAGGTCTTATTTTCGGGGAAACAGGGTAGGACTCCTGAACCTTGGAGTGAAATCTGAATCCTCACCCAAGCCATGTTGCCAACTGACCAGGGGACAAATGGCCCAGACGGCGCCTATATCTTTCAGAGTATTTTGATCAGCTAAATCCAACAGGAGACACTTTTCACAATATTGTACAGGGGTGAAAAGTATTACAGGCTGAAGTACGTGGTGAAAGATAAAGAAGGATGAATCCATGAAGTAGTTGGCAGCCCTAAACCCACCAAGTTCCTCTTGCTTCTCCATAGCTGAGATTACGTTCCAGTGTACTTATTCCTTGACCCAGCGGGCGTCATAGACTAGATTATTTTCATCTTTCAGAAAGCCTAAGAAGAAGAAAAGTATGATATAGCATGTTGGGAGGCAATTCTGCCTAGCCCTCTTTTGAAGGGTGGACTGGCTATAGATATCCTGTTTGTTTATATAAGTTTGTTTGTTTTTGCCAATGAAATGTAGAGG